AGGGTGAAATTTTAAAATTCCAATAAAAATACACATTTTGACAATTTATGCCGTTTGCATTATTATAGTTAAACTAAAACAACAAAAAACAGTTTTGTTACTTGAAATAAAATAAATGTTTAAAAAAACAAAACAAAAAAAACGTTAAACATTTTATTTCGGCTAGTTTCATTTCTTATTTTCATTTAGTTTAACAATGTACTAAAATATAGCAAACTAAATAAAAAATTAAGAAACACTATATAGACAAATTTAAAACAACAAAAACTAATAATAATGACAAAAACACAAAACAAAATGAGTAAAAACTTTAACTAAAATTAACATGAAAACAAAAAATATAAAAATAAAATGAGATTCAAAACATTAACAAAAACTATAGTAGTATCTCATTGATACTAAAATAACACTGGTTTGCATTAACACAGCCAAATAATAATAATAATAATAACTAGATAAAAAAGTTCGTCAAGACAAACTTTAGGTTGGCTTGAGAAAGCCTAGCCTGAAAGTTTAAAGCAGTAGTAAAAGCCTGAAGTTTGAAAATTTAGATTAGATAGATGTTGATAACCTGTTTCTAGCATGATTAGCAGGTTTTTAGCATGATTGGCCTGTCACTAGCATATTGCTGGCATGATTAGCATGTTGCTAGCATGTCGCTAGCATGTTTCTTGCATGATTAGCAAGTTACTAGCATGTCGCTAGCATGTTTCTTGCATGACTAGCATGTTACTAACATTTTGCTAGCATGATTAGCAAGTAACTAGCATGTTGCTAGCATGAATAACAAGTTACTAGCATGTTCCTAGCATGATTAACAAGTTACTAGCATGTCGCTAGCATGTTTCTAGCATGATTAGCATGTTACTAGCATGTTGTTAGCATGATTAGCAAGTAACCAGCATGTTGTTAGCATGAATAGCAAATAACTAGCATGTTTCTAGCATGATTAGCATGTTACTAGCATGTTGTTAGCATGATTAGCAAGTAACCAGCATGTTGTTAGCATGAATAGCAAATAACTAGCATGTTTCTAGCATGATTAGCATGTTACTAGCATGTTGTTAGCATGATTAGCAAGTAACCAGCATGTTGTTAGCATGAATAGCAAATAACTAGCATGTTTCTAGCATGATTAGCATGTTACTAGCATGTTGTTAGCATGATTAGCAAGTAACCAGCATGTTGTTAGCATGAATAGCAAATAACTAGCATGTTTCTAGCATGATTAGCATGTTACTAGCATGTTGTTAGCATGATTAGCAATTGACTAGCATGTTTCTAGCATGATTAGCAAGTTACTAGTATGTCGCTAGCATTGTTTCTAGCATGATTAGCATGTTACTAGCATGTTGTTAGCCTGATTAGCAAGTAACTAGCATGTTGTTAGCATGATTAGCAAGTAACTAGCATGTTGTTAGCATGAATAGCAAGTAACTAGCATGTTTCTAGCATGATTAGCAAGTTACTAGCATGTCGCTAGCATGTTTCTAGCATAATTAACATGTTACTAAAATGTTGCTAGCATGATTAGCAAGTGACTAGCATGTTTCTAACATGATTAGCCAGTTACTAGCATGTCGTTAGCATGTTACTAGCATGATTAACAAGTAACTAGCATGTTGCTAGCATGATTAGCAAGTTACTAGCATTTTCTAGCATGGTTATCATGTTACTAGCATGTTGCTAGCATGATTAGCATGCTACTAGCATGTTGTTAGTATGTTTCTAGCATGATTAGCATGTCGCTAGGATAGATAGATAGA